GCTGGAGAGGGATGGTGGCGAGGACCGAACAGCGGTGGGTATGTGCTTCCTGCCACTGAATGGGACCACCCCAAACGGTTAAAGGGGCCAATTGTATGTATATTTTACTCTGGTAAAAGAAGAAAAAGCAAAGAGCAGCATAAAGGGCCATGCTCGAAAGGGGTGCCTCTGCTTTGGGGCCCCTCTGTCTGGGACACCGATTTTATTCACAAGCAGCCTTTCGGAGAAATTCTTCCCCCTTTCAGGACATTATCTCCTGTGACCGTGGTGTAAAAAAATGCCAAATGCAGGGAACAGGACATCTCCGCCCTCGAATCCCTGCAGCCTCTTTGCCCCTCCCAGGATCTGTAGGGCTGAGGAGCGAATTCAAGAAGCTCCGTACTACCTGGCACAGAATTCACCTTCCTTTCGTACGATGCTGTCCAGGAGACAAGATGCTTTCCCGTACACACAGTTCACTTCACCCATCATGTAAGGGAAGCAGGCCAGGTCTTCCCATTTCCAGGGGAGGACACAGGCCTGGATGTTTTAAATGACTTTATTTAATTTAATTTAAATGTTTTATTTAATTTAAATGTTTTAAATTCTCCAGGACACCGGGCTGGAGAATGACAGGGCTGGGCGCAAAGCCATGCCTCAGTCTTAGCCTGGCACGAAGTCCACTCCTTCCCCTTAACAAGCTGCCTCAGGGGGCACCTGGGTGGCTCAGTGGGTTAAACCTCTGCCTTTGTCTCAGGTCATGATCCTAGGGTCCTGGGATCGAGCCCCACATCAGGCTCTCTGCTCTGCAGGGAGCCTGCTTCCCCCTCTCTCTCTGCCTGCCTCTCTGCCTACTTGTGATCTCTGTCAAATAAATAAATAAAATCTTTAGGAAACAACAACAACAACAAAAACAAAGCTGCCTCAGATCTGACTATGGCCAAGTGACCCCCAAGGCAAGGTAGGTTCTTGGGGTCTAGCTGGCTTTGTCCTTATCTGGTTCAATACAAGTTTCTAGAGCCATTCTAGAGAGTGATCTTTGGGGAGGGTTGCCTCACACTTCTGTTTCACCGCCGATTCAGGGATCGTGACTGTACTGGTCACTTTTGTAGTCTGGCAGGTGACAGTTGCTTTAAAAGACGTACTGCAATCGCACAAAAGTGTATTACAAAAAAGTGGGAGAAAATATTTGCAGGTCCTATATCTGATAAGGACTTGATTCCAATATCTATAATGGACTCTTACAACAATGAAAAGACAACCAAATTTTAAAAGGGCAGAGGTCCTGAATAGCCATTTCTCCAAAGATATGCAGATGGCCAGTAAACATAGGAAAAGATGTCCAACATCAGGGTAACACAAACCAAAACCACAGTGAGACACACTTCGTGCGGACTAGCGCGCTGTAATCAAACCGATGATACCATGTGCTGACGGCGATGTAGAGAAACTGAGACCCTACACTACAGGTGGGGACCTGGGGTGTAGACCCAGTAGAAAACAGCCTGGCAGCTCCTCAGAAATGGCTAAACATAATGTTATCACATGGCCTAGCCACCGCACTCCTAGTATTTACCCAAGGGAAATGACAGTGCGTGTTCACAGAAAAACTTTTTTTAAATTTTTTTTTTTAAATATTTATTTACTTGAGAGAGAGAGCAAGAGCAAGAAGCAGCAGCAGATGAAGAGGGAGAGGCAGACTCCTCACTGAGCAGGAAGCCTAATGAGGGGCTCAATCCCAGGACCCTGGGATCATGACCTGAGCTGAAGGTGGACGCTTAACCAACTGAACCACCCAGGCGCCCAGTTCACAGAAAAGCTTGTACACACGTTCCAAGCCGCACTATTAACAAGAGCCCCGAAATGAAAACAACCAAATATCTGCTGGATGAATGGATAAGCCAAAGTGGTCCGTCCACACAGTGGACTATTACTTGGTCACAGAAAGGATAGAGTCGACACCTGCTATGACATGAATGAATCCTGACGATGTGCGAGTGCAGAGGGAGCTCAAGGGGGCACAGGGATGGGGAATGACTACTAGATATGATGGGGTTTACTTCAGCTGTTGAAAATGTTCTCATATGAGTTGTGGTGATGGTTGCACAACTCGGTGAGTAACGTGTAATTATGGACGAACGTTCTGTGTGAAACAGATCTCAATAAAGCTATAAAAACAGCATTTTTTCTCCGGAAACATTGGGTGAACTTTCAACACCGTGTATCGGATGGTATTCGGGAGTCATGAATTCTGTTGGGAGTGGTAATGGAATTATGGGAAGGGTTTTACAAGTTCTTATCTGCTGTAGATGGAAAATGCTTTTCAGGGACATCTGCGAGGCCCAGATTCCCCACTGTGCACCATGTTTCCCTCCCCCTGTCTCACTGGGGGCCACAAGGGAACCAAATAACTTGAGTGGGAGCCGTCCCACTCCATGGCTAAATACAGGCCAAACCCAGACAAGATGGTAAACCTTACAGGTTGCTCGTGGGTGAAGAGAAAGAGTATTTCTTACATGGGGTAGCTAACTGCAAGGCTGCAAGTCAGTGGTCTGGGCAGAGGCCCTTTGGCGGAACGACGCGTGGGCAAGGGGGACCGGGAGGATCCTACCTCTGAAGAGATGTGTACACTGGCAAGTGCGGCTGGACCTGTTCCAGCCCTCAGACTCTGCTCGCCACGAGTCGCGCCTCATCCGCCGAGGAGAACTGGGAGAGGCGAGGTAGCATCACGGGCTCGAAAACGTTTTGGGAATGAGTGATATTCAGAATGGTAATTTCGTCACATTTATTGAAGGACCACAGTTGAACAGACAGCCAAAGACTTTACGATTCAGCAGTTATTTTGTTCAGAAGAGAGAAAACACATACAGGTTCTTTGACACATACCAAACAAAGCTTTCATTTAAGGGAGAGTTCCTATCCCAACTCTTATAAATAAGAAGAGTGGAAATCTAGGTTTGTTTGCTTTTAGGAGAGAGCTCTGACTAACCAAGTTGATTCAACACACAGAACAGACAGGTGTGGTTGGTGGAGTCTGGCCTCCCAAATATGTCCACATCCTAATCCCTAGAAACCATGAATGTTACTGTCTATGGCAACAGGGATTGTGCGGATGTGATTGAGATGAGACAGGAGGATTCTCTTGGCTTATCTGGGTGGGCCCAATAAAATCATGACGGCCCTTTATATTACACAGGGGGCCAGAGGGTAGGAGTCAGAGGACAAGGTGATGCGACAGAGGATGGAGGCATGTACTCTGAAGATGGAGGAAGCAGCCACTAGGAGCTGAGAAAGGCAACAAAACAGATTTCTCCCCTCGGAAACCTTAATTTTGGTTCTGTGGAACGGATTTTGGACTTCTGACCTTTGGAACTCTAATAAGAGATTAGGTTTGTGTTGTTTGAAGCCACTAAGTTTGTGATCACGTTAGAGAGCCAATGGGAAACGGACACAGACATAGCCATGATTAGGAGGGTCCTGTGACAGCAAAACTGTCCTGGAAAAAGATGGATGAGGTTGGAGCAAATAAGCAATCAGGAGGCTCTAACTGGTGAGAGGTGACAGATGGGGGCGAGGTAAGGTTCAGGCATAGTAATACAGACAAGCTCCTCTAACACCTAATACGGTTGCTGGGAGGGGGACTGTGACGTAATCTAAAAGGCCACAGAGCTTCCATTCAGTCTCTTGCTGCCCCAAAGGTAAGAAGCTTTGTCAACTGCATTCAACACTGTCACCAGGATCTCCGGTTCAGGCAGGACCAAGCCCTGTCCAAACACCTACTTCCCTTGGCTTCCTTTAGGCTTTGTCTAAAAGCTAAGATGTTGGAAAAATACGGTTCTTGTCCTTGAAGAGCTTTTACCGTGTGCGGCATAGCTCCTCAACCTTGTCACCACTGACACTTTGGACTAGGCGACTCCACTGTGGGGCTGTCCTGTGCACTGTAGGATGTTTAGCTCCATCCCTGGTCTCTACCCGCGATTGGCCAGCAGCATTTGCACACGTGGCCCCGGGGGGAGGGGGGCAAATCTGCTCCCAGGTTGAGCCCCACTGGTGTGCACAGTGGAGCAGGGAGGGACACAATGAAGTCGGCCTGGAACCAGTCAGAGAGGGTTTTGCTGAGTAGGATGCTCCTGTGAGATGGGACAGGGAGGAAGCAGTGGGGGTGGCAGGTCCTAAATTCAAAGGGAGCAGCATGTGCAGAACCGTGATGGGTGAGGGTAAGACACAGCCGGGAGGTGACTGGCAGCAACTGGAGGATCCTGCTGTTTTAGCAAGAATGCCACCTACCCGTGTCCTGCTGGAGGCGGTGCACCCATCCACCGGGGTCTTCTCTGAACTCAGAGGTCCTCTGGCTTGCTCTGGGTGACTGAGAACTATACTGACTGGGTTTGGATTCTTAGTTGAGAGAATGATGGGATGGAATTCGATCAACTCTCTGGCTTCGTTCCAGAACTTTTATATTTTATACAAATATATCTTGTGTTTTTTAAGAAAATTCACTGAGATATAATCTATCTATCATAAAATTAACCCATTTCAATGAGTTTTAGTAAATGTACTGAAATAATCCACTTTTATAATACTCCATCCCCCAATCATCTTGTTTTTCTTAAGGCTGCCGGCCTGAGTGAGGAAGGTTAGTAAGGGTCCCTTTGGCATGTCCTTAGCTGTCTCCACGCGCTACATGCTTCTTCCCCATTGCAGCCTTCCCCTGTTGCCTGGGCGGGGGCTGTAGCAGCTGAGATTTCTTCCTAAATCAAAGGTGTTTTGGGGCGCCTGGGTGGCTCAGTGGGTTAAGCCTCTGCCTTCGGCTCAGGTCATGATCCCAGGGTCCTGGGATCGAGCCCCGCATCGGGCTCTCTGCTCAGCGGGAAGCCTGCTTCCTCTTCTCTCTCTCTGCCTGCCTCTCTGCCTACTTATGATCTCGCTCTCTGTCAAGTAAATAAATAAAATCTTTAAAAAATAATAATAATAAATAAATAAATAAATCAAAGGTGTTTTCATATAAATAATTCCCTCAACATGTGTGAACTGCATATGTGTGTGTGTGTGTGTGTGTGTGTGTAAAAGCACTATTTACTTGGAAATCCTCTCCTCATACAAACATGTTCAAACTCTCACTTCATGTGTCCTTTGTTATGACCAGCCAGAAACTAGAGTAAGAATATTAGGGGATTTATATTCCAATGAAATTGGAATTCTAGTGGCTCACTGATCTTTATTAAAGAAGCGTGTATATGATCCAGAGTGTCTGGTATGACAGCAAGTACATTAAATATATACGTAATTTACCCTTGGACATGTTTAGAGGATAAATAAAGGGGCAGGAGACCCCGCAGGATCGGCCGGATTATCTTGGCCGTTACTCCCTGCTCTCTAGCAGAAACCCCGGTTCTCTCTGACTCAACACCCAGAGCCGCCATCTCTTCACTCGGTCACCAACAGGGTCACATCCCCCTTGGTGTCTTCTGGGACTTCTCAGAGCCAAACGTGCACCGGCATTCCTCAGGGACTTCTTGCTTTCCTTGTAAGTCACACAGTCAGTCTGTGGTTTACATGCAAGTGAGGGGAAAGAGAAACACAGACGCCTTCCTTCTGAACCGAGTGCGCGAAGCCCCGCTGTCAGTCCCCGTGGTGGAGTCTGTGGTGCTGGTGGAGGTTTGAGCTCTGGCGAAAGCTTTTCCCACACTGGCTGCACTGGTACGGCTTCTCCCCGGTGTGGATCCTCTGGTGCAGCTTCAGGGTAGACTGGCGCCCAAAGCAGTTCCCACACTCTCCGCACGTGTAGGGCCTCTCCCCTGTGTGTACACGCTTGTGTCTTTTGAGCTCCGAATTCCACGTGAAGCTTTTCCCACAGTCATCACATTTGTAAGCCTTCTTTGCTGAGCGGGTCGGCTGGTGACCAAGACGTTGCAAACGACTGCTCAGGCTCCTTTTGCTTCCTTTGCTTTTCTTCAGCTCTCGCAGCGGGTGGCTCTTCAGGGGGCTGCTGATGTATTCCAGTTCCCTGCAATGTCTCTGATAGTGAGTGAACAGCTTCTGAGCATTTGGGGGGCTGACCTGCCTCCGGGACAACCGGGGTTCACTCATACTCGCCCCTCTCGGCTCAGGACTCTGCAGACCATTCCCTTTGGATCTGCCAGGGGAAACTGCACATGGCTTTCCTCCTTTAGCCCCCTCTGGCTGAGGATTTTCCTTGTTGTCACTTTTCATTCTGGGGGCCTCTATAATTAGAAAGAATATGTTTCATTTCCTGGGCTTTGAAGAAAGAAGCTCAGCAAATGAGCTAAGAAGTATTCTCAAAGCGCGGTCCTCCACTGGCAACTGGCATTCGATTCATCTGGGGCACCTGTTACACAAGCAGGCTGTTCCTGTGTCCCCAGGGCTGCTGAGTCAGAAACTCTGGGGAGGAGGGGAGCTGGAAATCTACATGGCTAACAGGCTCCTGGGAGGACTGTAATTTATATTCATGTTAGGAACCAAGTTCTCCAATCCCATCTCTCCTTCCTACCTTTAAGGAAAGGTTAGGGAAGGAAGAAACATGGAAAAGCAAACCCATCAGACCTGAGTGGCAATAAACAAATGAAAAGGAGAGAGTTGGGGCACCTGGGTGGCTCAGTGGGTTAAAGCCTCTGCCTTCAGCTCTGGTCATGATCCCAGGGTCCTGGGATCGAGCCTCAAATTGGGCTCTCTGCTCAGCAGGGAGCCTGCTTCCCCCCCTCCCCCACCTGCCTCTCTGCCTACTTGTGATCTCTGTTTGTCAAATAAATAAATAAAATCTTAAAAAAAAAAAAAAAGAAAAGGAGAGAGTTGAACTGTTGAACTTTCAACACTGCCAATCTACTCACTCACATGGACACAGAATGATCACAACTGTCACTTCAAATAATGGGAAATTCAGCAAATGCAGTGTGTTCTTTCATTATAAACATGATGGCATTAGGGTTACAAACTACAAAATGGGCTAGACATGTATCCTAATTTCAGAAACTCTGCCAATTTCTGACCATGAGGACTGAGGATCAGGACGGAACCATGCTGGAATGTCTGTGGGCAAGCCGGAGGCTCTAGAGCTGTGTTATCCCACAGGACTGCTGCCAGGTGAGAAGTGTGTGTGTACATGAGCGTGTGCACATACTATTCAATATGGCAGCCACCAGCCACATGGAGCTACTGAGTCCTTGAAATGGGGGCTACCATGACGGAGAAAACAGAATTTTAAATTTTATCTAATTTCAGTTAATTTTAATTCAAATTTAAATAAGCAGCCTATACCTTTATGGTCAACTGCTTTTCGACAAGGTTGTCAAGGCAATTCAATGGAGAGACTAGGCTTTTCAATAAAGGGCGCTGAGCCAACTGGATTTCCACACGCGGAAGAGTGAGGGTGGAGCCCTGCCTCACAACGTGTACACAAAATAACTCAGAATGGATCAAAGACATAAACAGAAGGGCTAAACTAATGTCTCTATGAACAAAACATAGATATAAATCTTTGTGATTTCGGATTAGGCAAAGGTATTTTACATATGTCACCAAAACACAAGCCAAATAGAGAAAATAGATAAATTGCACTTGATCAAAATTAGAAACATTTGTGCTTCAAAGGACACTATCAAGGAAGTGAAAATACAACCCACAGTGGGAGAAAATACTTGCAAATTATATATAGGGGCCGAGTATGCAGGATATAAAAAGAACTCTTACAACAAAAGACTAACCCAAATTAGAGACAGGCGAAGGATCTGAACAGATACTTCTCCAAAGAAGATATACCACTGACCAATAAGCACATGAAGAGATGTTCAACATTATTCACCATCAGGGAAATAAAACCTCCGTTAGGCACCACTTCACACCTAATGCGACTGTTGTAACCAAAACACCGAAAAGTGCTGACAGGGATGTGAAGACATTAGAATCCTCACAGGAACTGCTGGTGGAAATGTAAAATGGCACAGCCGCTGTGGAAAACAGTCAGTGTTTCCTCAAAAGGTTGAACAGAGAGCTACTGTCTGACCCAGCAATTCCACTCCTAGATATGCGGCCAAGAGAAATGAAAACATATGTCCACACAAAAACCTGCACACAAAAGTTCACAGAAGCACTATTCATAACAGCCAAAAAGTGGAAACACTCCAAATGACCACCTGATGAATAAACAAAACGTCCACGTGATGGAGTATCAGCCGTAAAAAGGAACAAAGGAGCGACACATGTGATAACATGGGTGAAGCCAAAAACCTTCTCAGTGAAAGAAGCCAGTCACAAAAGAGCACAACATACGTGATTCTGAAATATTCACAATAGGCAAATCCGGAGACAAAGCAGATGGTTGCTGCCAGGGGCCGGAGAGGGGGCACTGGAGAGTGACTGCCAGGGGGTCTGGGTTTCTTTCTGAGGTCATGAACATTTTCAAGAATTAGACAAATAGGGATGGTCACACAAGCGTGTGAAGTACTAAACCCCACTGAAATGTATACTTCAAAAGGTGATTCTTACAGTACATGAAATGTATCTCCATAAATAAAATTTAAATAGCCATGTGTGGACAGTGGCAACTTACTGGGCAGTGCAGCTCTGAAGGAAGGCCCTACTGGATCTTAGGGTAGAGACTCTACCTTCAGGGATCGAATCAATGATGGGGCCTGCACACACGGTGAGCTGCCTAAGATGAGGCAGGAGAAAGGAGTGTGCGTGCTCAGGACCACGAAGCCCAGAGGTTATGGGGCAGGACTGGAGCCAGGGTCACAGTGTTTTTCTGCTGGATGCCCCAGGTCTTCTCCACTCCTAAGTTCAGAGAATAACCAAACCTAAGTGTTTCACTGAATGTAGGAAATCTTAAGGAAATCAAGGCACTCCAGCCTTCTGGTAATGTTCTCTAACCTGCTGACCATCCCCTCTACTCACATCACTAAGACTAGCCAGAGTGTCTCTGTTATTCAGTCTTAGAGATCACAGGACTGAGTACAGCAGGGCCACCAACGACTGGCACTGTGCCACAGACGGATAGGGCAATGGACACAGGGTGTGAAGCGCAGACACTGTCACAGGAGAAGGAAGAGGCAGAAAATAATATGGAGCGGCACTCTTCCTCTAACGTATAGCATTCTTTAGGCCCCTTCTCAACATGGGACGATTTTAAGCAATGAAACTCAGCCACAGTTTGGAAGGAAGTTCATCAGTGGTCATATGTGGATCTGTCACTACAAGAAGCTCCGAAGGGGACAGAGTAGATAATCCCATTACGCACTGTCACTGAGTCATTAACAGAAAATGATAAAACCATACTTCTTACACACCTATCACTGCCATGCTAGTCAATGAAATCTGTTGGGAAATAAAGATCTAGTATTACACAAAACATTAAAAAACCCGACATGCAGTGTATGGTGTCTCAGAACCACAGGATGTTCTGACGGAGGTAAAGATTAGAGAGGGAGAGAAGAGGCACAGAGTGTTTACCTGGGCCGGCCAATTTGGGGCTTGGTTCCTGGAGGAGTGGGGATTTGTCCCAATGATGAGTGCTCAGCTGGTCTTGAGATTCCGCCTGGGAAGGCTCCTCCAAAGAGTTCTCCCTGGGACAGCTTCTAGGAGTTTGCAGTTGAAAGTCTGGGAGTTCCTGTTCTCCAAGCTGAGACCCAGTCTTCTCCAAGAGCACCTTCTGCCCCTGCATACAAACGGCCACCTAGGAACAAGCCCCATGCATCAGAGTGCAGCTCGAGGACTGGGGGCAGCCTGACCTCTTCCTGCTCTGCAAGGATCCCTTCCTTTACCCTGGGGTATACCGAGAGCAGTCTGAAGGCCAACTATGAGAGACTATGAAAACTCTCAAAGGTAGCAAAGGGAAGGACATGCAGAATGGTTAGTGAGATTAATCCTAATCCATGGAGGCTTCAAATCAGCCAAGACTTCCTAAGTGGGTGACCCTAAAAGGGTCTTTCGCAGGGCCTCAAGCTCATCAGAGAGAAGGCACAGATAACAGGGTCAGTCATGACATCGGCCTAGGAGAGTCTCACCCTATGTCCACCCCGGCATCCTGTGTCTCACCGTATGTCACTCCCCCAGCAGATTCTATCAGAAAAAGGTCCCACTGGATCGGGAAGCATTTGATGAGAACATTAATAATAAAACCCATACCTAATAAACTGTTCTGCCCAAGGCTTCCCTGATAAGGAGATCCCAGTAGTAGTAGGGCTAGAAGACTGCCCGCCCTGTTTCCTGACAGCCTCCATTCCTCAAAGCATATGGTTGTTGGCTTCCTGCCTAAGCCCTGAATGGGGTCTAAATTGGGAGGCTGGAAAAAAATACTGGCCAAATGAGCTGCAACTTCCTGAACTGCAGGGAAGACACATCACCGAAGCCAGGTCCACCATGAAGTTCCCCCCAAATCAAATTCCTACCCAACAAGATGACCCTGCCTGCTAAGAATCCTGATAGTAGGAAAACTTCAGGAGGAATGGGTGTGGGGTGATGTGTGGGCACAAATGCAAGGAACTTACTTGATCCTCTACTTTCTTACTGGAGCACCCCAGTACCTGGATTTTCTAAACACCTATTACATCCCCCAAGGGGGTTCCCAAATAGAGGCCAGAAGCAACATTTGCAGTCATCGGGTCCATTTCTGGACTCTGACTAAATAGAGAGGGATGAAGAGACCAGATACTATCCAGATGAGAAAGAAATCCTGGCGACCACGAGAGAGGGCCCTCCTTACCCACTGCTTTGGTCTCTTGGGAGCTCTTTGAAAATCTTCCACCAGGGTCACAATCTCCTTGCTGCTCACTGGACATCGATGCCTGACCCGGGCCTGGATCTCCGGAGGCAGGATGTTCAGGAACTGCTCCAGCACGAGCAGCTCCAAAATCTGTTCCTTGGTGTGCAGCTCGGGCTGCAGCCACTGACGGCAGAGCTGCTGGAGCCGGGAGAGGGCCTCTTGGGGTCCAGACACCTCTTGATAACAAAACCGTCGAAAGCTCTGGCGGGAGAGCTCAGGATCGAGGCGGTCTTTTTGCAGAGTGGGTCCCCGTTTGTCTTCCAGTTTTGTTATTATGTGTCTCTCTGGCTTGGAGGAAGCCTGAATGTGGGACTGCGAGCTCAAAGTTATCTCCATCTTAGCCGCCATCTTGGGGCTCGGGAGACTGGCTCTCTCCTCCGAAGCAGCTCAAGCCTTCGGGCTCATGGCTCTGCACAAGTCTCTCTCAACGTCAGCAAGATGTGGGGGAGGGCGGGGCACACACAGGCCCCAAGCTCCCGAGGACAACACAGGGACTGACGGTGGGGAGAGTCTGACCCTCTGGCAGTTTCCTCAACTGTCTCGAAATGGAGGAAACTCATAACGTCCTGAAAGGAACGGGGGGAAAACCCTGCTTTTATTTCACCGATAAACACAAGGTCTCAGAGGAACTGCGCAGCGTGACCCAACTGGCGGTCGGGAAACCCCAGGAAAAGTTCGAGTTGTCACACAGGTGGCCTGCGCCACCTCCCCGGCACCCTGGCAGCGCCGACCTCGAGCATCTCGCCGGGAGCTGCGGGGCAGGCGGCACCGCACGGAGGGCGAGGAAGCCCCAGCTCGCAGCAGGGCAGGCGGAGCGCGGCGGCCGCTAGCTCGCGATGCCCGGCAGGCCCGCCGGCTCGGGCCTCCGAGGGCGCACGGGCGGCCCCCCAGCTGGGCGAACCTGCGGCTCTCGGGCGCACGAGTCAACTTCGCGGCTGTGTGAGAGCCCGGCAGGGTGGCGCCTGAGGCGGCAGCGTCGCCAGCGACCTTGCACCCCGCACCCACCTGCCGCGGACTCACCTCTCTGGGGACCTGGGACCCGGAAACCAGGAGCCAGGGCTGGGGGCGGAGCCGAGGCCGCTCGTCGCGAACACTCCCACTGGCTGAGGGGAGAATGACGCAAGGAAATACGGCACTGGGGGTCCGCCCCCTCTCCCGGGGGATTGGCTCCCAGAGGGCAGTCTCTCGCGTCTATTTGCTGCTGAGTTTGTCGATGCTGGCGAGGGACGGCGACCGGCCTTTCGCAGTGCACGCTGGGAGCTGTAGTCCAATGGCGCCGCTCGCGACCATGCGCAGCGGGTAGGTTAGCGCCAGAAGTCGGGGAGTTGTCCAGTCGCTGACTTCCGGACCGGCCGCCGAGCGAGTCTGGTAAGTACTCCGCTTCCTCGCCGCTGCGGGGTCGAACGCCATTGTTTCAGAACGGTGGGCACAGGCGCGGACGCCCCCGCGCATCCCCCGCCCCGACCCGGCCACCCCGGACTCCCGGCGGCCCGTGACCCTTCGAGTGCTCCCTCCCACCCGCCCCAGCTCCTGACCCTCGCCCCGGACGAACTGGCAAGACTCAGGGCATCTCCGCCGAGCGAGACGTGAACCAGCCCCACGCCTACCCTTGTCCTGCTTTCCGCCGAGCGCCTGGGTCTTCGCCAGAGTGAAACACGAGAACAGCATTCTCAAACGAACTATGGACGGGATGTTAGGGGTCAAAGAGGAGCACGAGCTTCGTCATCCGCCTGAAACTAGGGTAGCATTTACTAAATGAGTCTGCATCCGGACAAGGTGCAGGATATGGAAAATCTGCGGCGTGGCATACATCTTCGAGGCCGGGGCCCTGCGTGCTGTGACGCTCCTGTTTTGTTAAAAAGGACTGCTACCAGGAATGCCTTCCATTTCCCTGTCAGTAGTCTCTTGGGCTGCATTATATGTAAGGAGATTGTAAGTGAAGGCAGTTCAAGTTCTTTGGAAGAAGAGCAACCTGAATCCAGTTTTTTAAGTTTTTTTGTTGTTGTTGTTGTTGTTTTTAACTCCTGTGAGCAGGCTCACCCCTTTGGTGCAGGAGTGGTTATATTAAGACACACAATCACAGATGGCTCCAGTCTTACATCCTCCCAATCCAGCAATTCCTAGGAAATTTGGAAAATCTCAAGAGACTTTTGACAGGCTCAGTTTATGTCAGATGCCTGATGTAAACTCCTGGGGTGGGAGGGAAGGGTACTGTAATGAATAGCCCCGTGACACCCGCTGGAATTTAGGACTCAGTTACAAAGGAAGAAGATGCATTCTGAAGTAGGAAGGAGTACTGGAAAATGAAAGCATACCGCAAGCCAGTCGTGTCTCATCCACACTGTGTGTGTGGCTCTGATGGTAGTAGAGACGAGAGTGTGAACGATGAAGAGGTTAATCCAGAGGCACGTTATGAAAAGATGGCAATTGGGAAGGTGACTCCTGGCTTCCTGAGGGGATGGAGGGCAGGGACCAAGACCCAGGCATAGGGGGACACAAGAAAGAACAGCTGGGCTACATGGGAAAGTAGTTTGGGGAATTCATGAGCAAACACCACTGGCCTGTGGAGAAAACTGTTTTGATAGTTCTAGTGCTTCAGATTCTCAGATTGTAGAGGGAGCAAAGGAAAAAGGCAGAAAGTACATCACGGGAAGCAGAGAGAAGGACTATGAGATCACGTTATGCTGTCTTTTTCCATTTCCTGCAACTCCCCTTCCAAGTCGCTGAGTTATTTTCAGCTGTGATTCTGAACCACTAAGATATTCTCATATTTCTCTGATTCCAGGAAGACTTTCACCAGTGTCCAGGAGAATGGTTTTCCAGTGACATGAGAAGAAATGGAACCTGATCTCCAGAGTAGTGATGGCTGCCAATGAGCCAGGCTGGTGACAGAAATCATGGCTGCGACAAGGAGTCCCCAGGCATACCCATCCCAAGCAAGGACTGCTACCAGGGACAGAAATCAGGCCTTCCCAGCACCAACCCTGACTCAGAAGCCTCCCACCAACGCTTCAGGCAGTTCTGCCCCCAAAAGGTAGCCGGCCCCCACGAAGCCTTTAGCAAGCTCTGGGAACTCTGCTGTCAGTGGCTAAGGCCTAAGACACACTCAAAAGAGCAGATGTTGGAGCTCTTGGATTTGGAGCAGTTTCCAACCATCTTGCCAGAGGAGATCCAGACCTGGGTGAGGAAGCTGTGGCTGTGGTTGAGGATGTACAGAGTGCATCTGGCCAGCAGGTGAGGACAGGCATTCAGAACCTGCTAAGTTTCGTTATGAAGAACTGAGCGAGAAGCACAGGAATCTGCTTAGTGGAGAGGAGCCGAGCTGAGAAATGCACAGTAGCGCTCTGTTCCCCACCAGAAACCATGAGCTGGCTTGGGGAGGTCCCTGACCTTCGTCTTTGGGGAGAATTTCTCATTTGCTGCAATAACACAGACACGGATATATTCAGTTTATGTTTAAGGTCCCTAATACAAATGTAAAACCTCAGAATACTTTCCAACAGAAGGCCAGGGAAAGGACAACTATCCCTCACCCAGGGACTCAGGAAAATTAGAGTTGGTGAGTTAAAATCCAGTGTCTCTTGCCGAAAGGCTCCTTGAGGACAGATGCCGTGTGTTATTCACTAAATAAAAGTTGCATTAGAGCTGCTCCTGCTGCCAGGATTAAGGGGTCGGTATGGGATAGTGATGAGTTTCACAAAATATGCACTTGTCCACTTAGGGACTAGGTCGGACATGTGGTCAGTGTAACGATCTTGTACATTTTGGGAGAAGGGAGCTGTGAGAGGCACAGGAGAAGAAAAGGAACTTGGCTTTGATGGTAGTTTGTGGGAAGAAGGCAACTGAGATCCCAATCCCAAGTCTGGGAGAGGCACAGAGTAAAGGAGGAGTGTGGGCCAGAGGGACACTGTAGGCTGAACCCCTCTGCAGTCAACAGGAAGCAGCTCACTGGGTGCAGAGACTACATGCCTGGAATGGGAGATGCCCGTGTCCCCAGTGAGGAGGCAGATGTATCCTCGGGCTACAGGAGGAAGAGTGGTGTTGACATAATGTGGAGAAGGTAGAGCTGTGTGGTGGGGACATCAGGGACCAGGCTGAGGAAGTTCCTGAAGGATCCATGGGGTTGGGACAATTACTAACCGCTAGAAGGGAGCAGAGAAGGGCAAGCAGTAGCACGTGGACGGAGTTAGAGACGGGGCCGGTGAGGAACGGGAGCCACTACATCCAACAGTCCTCCTGCTCCAGGCCCCCTTGCCCTCTCTCTGTGGGGTCGGTCTTTCCCTCATGGCCACCATCATTTCAGAGCCAAGCTCTTCACAGGAGTGAGATGGTACAGGAATGTCAGGGTTAAAAGAGCTACCTGAAACCTGTCTGGGATGGGAAGGGCAGAGCAGGAAGCGGAGGGGAGAGGGAGCAGAGCAGGTTGGCAGCACGTGTCAGGATGCCGGCCGCCTCTGCCTACCACCCCTCGCTCACTAAGGCCCAGTTAGAAGCTTGGGACATAACGGATGCAGGTGGCTCTGAAAGACGCGGGTGGCTCCGAGTGCCTGCCACGTGCCACGTACTGGGGATTTCACAGTGAACGTGACAGGCGTTGTCCCTGGCCTGCAGGAGCCACACTCCATGGGGAAGCGGACGACAGGTGAAGGAAGAAAACTACTTTGGGATAAGTGCTCGGCAGGAATGAGCAGCTGACGTGCTGGACAGGGACCGCGGGGCGGACAGGAAGTGGACGTGGCCTGTTGGAGAGGACACAGGAGCTGAGCTGGGAGGGAGGCACTGTCTATGTCAGCAGCTTCGGGTGGGCAAGGATGTGGCCCGTTTGGCGGAGCAGTGAGGAGTGGCTGTGAGGTCCAGGAGAAGAGGAGGATGGGAGGTGCGAGGGCTGGACAGGGTATCGTGCAGCTTATGCTTTATAAGCCCTGCTGGGTTGTGACAAGGCGGAGGGTGATGACAGGGTCTGGCAACCAAGGTCCAAGTCTTGGAGCAGCCTGTGAGCTGCACACGTAAGTGGCTGATGTCACATCTCTCTTTTATGCCAGGAGAGCTGAGCAGACGTGGGGAAGCCCGGACATGGGGGGAGAGGCACTTCCCCTGTGAGGCTGCTGTGCTCCCCTGCCTCAGATGCGTGCCGGCCCAGCACTCGGCCACCTCACCTCTGCCTGGTGCTTGCAGCTCCTGATCTTAATCACTAGAGACCAGATGAGTGAGACCAAATTCTGGTTTTGTTTTTTTTTTTAAATCACAGAGGTCTGAGACTATTTCTTTTCTGCATCCTAGGTCTCACGTCGTTTCCTAATGCCATTTGTAGAGGTTTTATAGTCCCTTACACAAGAATTTCTAGTGACAGATGATGGGGTCTGTTCTCAGGTCCCAGATTCTGGGAAGGACTGGAAAGAGCTCAATGAGGAGACAGCCCTGTTGGGAGTGCCCAGAAAGTCACTGAGATCCCACCTGAAACGGGGGGTTGATACAGAGGAAAGCACTTTGAAGGGGTCACGGAGCTCACAACACAGAGCAGGGGAACAGTCAGAAGGTAAGCCAAAGTCTCTGCCCTCACCTGGGGCTACCCAGAGGAATGCACCTCTGAGCTTGAGTCGGCTGCGGGGTTCTAGATTAATGCTTTTGAAATAACCCAGAAAACAATATGGCAAAGGTTACTCAATGGTAACAGCACAGAGGGTGGAGACTTCTTATGTGTAGCCCTAATTCTCGTCACTACAACTGAATTCTGTCACTTCTAAACCAGGTACATTCACATCCGCAAGCTCGCCCTCACCTGCACACCAGCTCTTCCTGGACTTGAGACAAACCCCTTTCTCATGCAGCTCTTTTTTTCAACAGAGGAAGAGAGAGGAAGGCAAAACTGTTGATTTTAATTGTTAATTGCTGACACGTATATTTGCTGTACTGTTCTCTTTTAAGCAGATGAAACAATCAGTATCTCGTTATTTCATTAGAATCCTTCGGAACGTCCCTGCCCTCTGGTGTGTGGTTGCTGAGGCTGTGGGGTTGAATGTGAAGGGGCAGGACTCACCACGCACCCAGGCCCGCTCCTGCGGCTCCCCCTGGCTTCGGGTTCAGATCCCTCATACTGGAAACTCCTCCCGATCAGACTTGTGTGTGTTCCCCGAAGTTCTGTTATTAAGTCCACAGAATGAACCACTTCCATACTAGGATTCCTGTGGATCGATTTCTGGGACAGTATATATTATGCTGGCCTGAAAAAAATGAAAGGCTTGAGTTACTGTGGTATTTTTAGGAGGACGAGGGTCATCTCTGGGTGGTGGGGCTTAAAGGCTCCCCCAGCCCCTATGAAACATATTTTTTCCGTAATGTACATATACGGCTTTAGAATGAAGCAATTTTTCTTTCTTTCTTTCTTTTTTTTTTTTTAAATAAATGGCTATTATGCCAACAATCTTCGCCCTACAGAGAGGGCCCTCTGCAGGGGCATCACTCAGAAGAACGAGAGAGATCACACTCTGGGTAAGAATGCCCATTCCCTCAGAGCCAGACCGTCTGTGTTCCTCTCTCGAGAGAGAGACACACAGACTGGAAGACCCAAAAAGGACGAAACAGACAGCGGCAGCGGAGACTGCTGGGTGAGGGAAGGAGAGAAACCGGGAGAGTCTGAGAGCAGGCACGACACAGACTGCCAGAAAGGGAAAGCAAGACACCAGAGGTTCAGGACGGGGCGGCCAGCACGTGTGACAGCAGGTGGGACCGAGGGAGGGGAGAGACACGGAAAGCAGTGGGGACAGAGTGTGGCAGGTGGAGCATGGGGCTGGGGGACCGCCCGCAGCCTGGGAGGCACGGCCCATGGGAAGAGCAGGACGGCGCGAACGCACATGCGCACACACAGCGAGAGCCGTCCTGGGGGGCGGCGGGCACTGAGCGGTGCCGGTGGGCTTGTGTGCCCAGGCCTTCGGGGGCAGCGGGCCCTTCAGAGGGTCAGACCCTTAGAGCCATACACCCAGGGAGTCCCCCAAGCGAGGACACAGGCAGCTCTCAGGACAAAGGAGTGGGATTCGGGATAAAGAAGAGAAGGGCAGCTCTGGTAAATACCCCACAGCCCTTCTCCGTCAGAGGATGCCCTTCCCGCTAGGCCGAGCGCCGGTGTGTGACGAAGGAAGCCCACAGCGGGGTAGCTTCCTGGGGATGGCCGCACGCAGCCGTGGCCGAGCTGGACAAACTGGCACGTAGCTTCCTGAGCGGCTGCCTCTGTCGTGCGGGGTAAAGGCCCCCGTGGTCACACAGTGTGTCCCTTGTCCCCTGGCAGCAGGTGTGCCCTGGGGCGATGAGGAGACCGAGACCCTCCTGGCCATGCTCTGGGACGCTCAACTTCATGAGGAACTCGGACTCGTCAGCACGGCCAGACCTACAGGGCCACAGCAGGACGTCTCCGGGAGCAGGGCATTCTGCGGGCCCCAGAGCCGTCCCGTGCCA